GTTGGCTAGTACATACTACCAGCTACTAATAAAATAAACATATGATCCGCTTGGTCAGCGAAAAAGAGTTCGGTTGAGCCACTAGAGGATTTAAGACTTACCCTTGCTTTACTGGTTCATTAGTCAGAGCTTCTATTGGAAGTTGTGCCAGTTGTTTCCGCACGTTCCTCGAGTCAGAGGTCACCAGCGATAAGTCCTTGAAATGCAGCTGAATCTATTTCCCAACAGAAAAGAAAAAACAAATATAAGACGTTTCGGCAAGACGATTTGCCAATAGTAGAGGGGCGCGCATCGACCACGTTACGGAACTCCCTCGTCCCGCTGGGCCTTGGGGTTCCTTCTCGAGTCTACATTATGCTCAGTAGTGCGGCTTCTGGTGGGTTCGAGAGAGAGCCCTGAGGCACAGTGGAATGAGTGAGTTCCGTAAGGCGATCGATGTGAGCCCCTCTACCATAGTAAATACAGTAGGTGAGTCAACTTATGAAATGTCAACCGAAATTCTGAAATGCGTTTTCGTTTCGAAAAGATTAATTAAGTAAGGTTGTAAAACTAGTTAGCCTGCAACATAATTCTATGATATTTTAGTTACCTCAGGATGCCGGCTTTCGAATTAATATCCATCCGGCTGCATGCAAAAACCACACTGTGTAAAAGATGACTACTGATGTAGCATGAATTTTTTTCATTGATTTTCGATGCCCCTTAAATTCCAATTATATTTCATGGAAAACATGCATAAAAATATTCATTCTTTTAATCACTTAGTAGATAATTACGTCTTCTTCTAACTTTATACTCCAAGGAGGGACATAATTGGGTTTAAAAAACGTTTCCAATTGTGAATATCGTAAAAAGTCCGTTTATAAATCGTCATGTCTCTGCATTTACGAATATGGCTTGTAAAGTTAACAACATGGATCAAATCCACTGCTTAATCTTATGAACCCTATGTGGACGCCCTTTTATTACCGTGGACAAATGTGTGGTTTTCGTACGCGGAAAACATATGGCTTGTAGTTTTGAAACCCTAAAGACAAATATAACAGCAGGTCGGTTCAAACTTATTTGGGAATTGGAAAAGCTTTTGAAAACCTGATTAATTCCTTTCTTAGAGTAAAAAATTGGAAGAAATCGTTATTTTCTACCGTTTGAGCAAACGATAAATATTTTTGTGCATGTTTTCTATGATATGTAATTCACTTTTTAAGGGCATCGAATATATGTGAGAAAAATATATGCCACATAGGTAGTCTTAGACGCCAAAAGTGTTGTGATTTGCGTTCATTTAAAGATAAGCCTTGGCAGATAGATAAAAGATGACGGACGCACAGAAATTTTAAATGACAGCTGCTACTGGAATTAGTATGAAAAACTGCGACAGAGGGTATTAGACGTTAAAACAGTGACAATTTAGACTTAATTCAATTACCTCAAGGTGCCGCCTTTTGACCTGACTTCTTTTTGGCTGCGTGCAAAAACTGTGCTCTGTAAGAATTACTACTTATGTAGCATGCATATTTCCCATTGATTTTTGATGCCTTTAAAAGTTCAGTAATGTTTTATGGGAGACATGAATACCAATATTCATTCTCCTGCTGATTCTATAGAAAATTGTTCATACTGCCAATTTTATACTTAAAGGAAGGGTATAATTCGGTTTTAAAACGTTTCTACTTGTGAGATTTTTTAAAACCGTGAAATGGCCGTTCCTAAAACGTCACGTCTCTGCATTTACCAGTGTGGCTTGTAAAATTTACGATATGACTCAGATCCGCCGCTAAATTGTATGAATCGCATATGATCTTCTCTTAATACTGTAGAGAAATGTGTGGTTTTCCGTACGCGGAAAATATACGGCTTGTAATCTGGAAACCCGGAATGCACGTGTGACGGCAGGTCGAGGTTCAAAATTATTCGGGAATTGGACAAGATTTTGAAGACCGAATTATACCCTTCCTTCAGGTTTGAAATTGGAGGACGTAATTGTCTGCTGAATATGTGAAAGGATGAATATTTTTATGCATGTTTTCCATGAAATATAATTAAATTTTTAAAGGCATCGAAAATCAATGAGAACAATGCATGCTTTAAAAGTAGTCATTTTTTACGGAGTGCAATGTTCACGTGCAGCCGGAATGACGTTTGTTAAAAAGCCAGCATCCTGAGGTAACTGACATATTACAGAATTATGTTACAGGCTGACTAGTTTTACAACCCTACTTAATTAATCTTTTCGAAACGAAAGCGTATTTCGGAATTTCGATCCACATTTCATGTGTTGGCCCACCTACTGTATACCCGATCGCAATCGACAGGAAAACGAGTTCCTAGCGTTGGACTTCTAGCTTACAGGTCATGAGATTGAACCCCAGGCGCTGTACACCTCGGGGTTGGAAATGACCTGATTTACCGCATTTAAGACGGCGGGTATGTCGGTTCCTGTTTTGATGATTTTGAAGATGTCTTCAACGTTGCGACCGTAGTATTTAAGCTAAATAATCTGATCGCTTAATCAGAATTTCTCAAACTTGCCATGAAGAAATCGACTAGGAGGCGTCCGAGCGGCAAGCCAATAGTAACGCCACGTTCAGGCTCCGCTCCCATCGTGGTCAAGTCGACTAATCATGCAACTGTCCGCACAATTCCGCACTCGTTCCGTCCCTGGCATTGATTGTCATTACCCCCCCCCCCATTCCTTCCTCCCATATCCACACACCCCGCCTTTGGTGAATGCATTCGTCTATAGCCTCTGCAAAACAAAATAATCAGATGTCACCTCATCCAACGACATTTTCACCGAACTATTCTCAACTGCATCTATCACTCGACTCTACTGAACAATTGCATAGGACATTTAAACAACACAGACGAGTGCTAGACCACACACTACTTATCGTACTTTCGGCGCTATCCAAAAGAATACGAGCACATTTCCCAGCATGGCTGGGAAATGGTCAAATTAGGAGTACGAACAGCGCTCTTCTCGCGCATGGTGTTGATTCCGGACATTGTGTAGACACCAGCGAAGCTTTTCGCATCTATTATAAGATACCGTCGAGCTACCCTAGGCTACTTGCCTAGCAGCCGTTAATAAGGCAGAAGCGACAGCCATCGGGTTATGAAAACTGATCTTTTGCACGCAGAAATTACACGTTCAGGCTCCGCACCTATCGTGGTCAAAAGCAGACTAACCATGTAACTCTCCGCGCGCTTTCGCTCTCATCCCGCCCCTCACATTGACTTTGGAAACCTACCTCCCATATTCTTCCACTCCGCCCGTGTTTTAAGACGAACTCTGATTGATTTCTTTAACCCCTGACATGTTTTTTTTTTCTTATATCTTGTTCCCATATAAATGTACTGGCCTGATGAGAATCTATCGAAAGCAAATCACAAGAATATTTGTATAAACATCAATAGATTCATTCGCCTCCAAATTTTTTGACTGACCTCTTAATTATCCTAGGAATGGAATGATTCAATCCATTTAATAAAACTTTTTTGTGGTTATATTTGTCTCGTCTATTGATAAATGTCATCTGCCGTATACTCCAATGCTTTCATTGTTTACCTTTCGGACCAACATACAGTAGGTGAGCTACCCCATGAAATGTCGACTAAAATTCGGAAAGGCATTTTCGTTTCGAAATGATTACTTAAGTATGGTTGTAAAACTAATCATTGTGCAGCGTAATTTTACAATAATGCAATTACCTCAGGATCCCGGCTTTTGAATGAATTTTTTTTCGGCCACATGCAATAACCACATTCTGAAAAAAATGAATACTTTAATAGCATGAACTGTTCTCATTGATTTTCGATGCAGCTAAAAATTCAGTTGTATTTTAGAGAAAACCATGTATAATGCTATTCCTTCTCATGCTCATTCGGTAGAAAATAACGTCTTCTTCCAATCTCATACTCAAATGAAGCGTATAAATCGGTTTTCAAAAACTTTTTTCGGTAGGAGGGTAGTTGGTAGCCTTGCGCCCGGTTTCTACAATTGTACCTAATGGCTTAATTTCAGTAGCCGTGATTACGTCCTCATTGTGTGTAAAATGTGAACGCGCAGAGGCCCTGTCAGGATGACTTCTTTCGTAACTTCAACCGCCCCGATAACGTGGTGCTGCAAGAATGTCTATATAGATTCATTGTATTGCACCCCCCACACGGAAATCTTTAGTAAAAGGCGAGGGGCTTATTCTAGGCGGATTACGATTTATGGCGCTTCCCATTATGGCTCAAATTGCATGCCTGGCCGTGCTTACGTCTTCATTATGTGGTATAGTGAACGCGCAGACCGACTTGTCAGGATGACTTCCTTCTGGTGAACGCGCAGAGGCCCTGTCATGGTTGACTTCCTTCGTAACTTCAACCGCCCCGATAACGTGGTGCTGCAAGAATGTCTATATAGATTCATTGTATTGCACCCCCCACACGGAAATCCTTAGTAAAAGGCAACAGCTTTATTCTAGGCGGATTGCGATTTACCGTGCTTCTTATGATTCCAGTTGCATGCGAGCACTGCCTTACCGGTACCTTCTATCTGTAGCTTTATTGCGGTTGGCATTATGTCCGGGGGTGAATACGCAGACGCCCAGTTAGGATGAATTTCTTCTTCACTTCAACCGCCTTGTCAGTTGCCTGCGCGCACTGCCTTAAAAGCGTGTGCCGGGTTAGCATGCGGTTTTCCCTGTCGACTGAACTTTTTTTCCGATCCCTCACTTCGGAAGTTTCGTTTAGTCCGTTATCAGCGAGTCAGGCGGTCCACCTATTTGGCTACTGCGTCATCAAGTCTTTCGCACTTGGCCGCCGCAGCCCAGTCCATTGACCATGGTTTAGAAGGGTAGGCCAGTAATGAAAATACAGATGCATTCACTATTGACACAACAAGGGCTACCATACATTTCGCTTCCGTTGGGTTCTCTTGATTGCGTGCTTCGGTCTGGGTTGCCCATCGTTTAGGCTTTGTGTTGGGGTGACACTTCGTGCGCCTGCATTTAACTAATATAATGGTTTATGTCATCAATGACCGACGCTTACCTTTGTGTCAGCTGCGCTCCGTCTTCCGCTGAACAAGTACGGTCAGCAACCGGGTAAGCGTCCGCTATATGCTTTAAGAATAATTCCCATGCTTGGGGCAAATTGCCTGCCTTGAGGCCATACCACAGACGGTACTGGGCTTCGATTACATGAGCACAGATGTTCCTTTCCCGGATGAGACCGTGTTCACGTAATTTTTTCTTCAGCCTACTCCAGTAGGCTTCGATAGCGATCGTGTTCTTTCGAGTGACTGGGTCGACAAAATTAACTGAATGATTGACCGTTAAATGTCGATATCCTTCATCCGTCACACGTGCATATCCTTTCCATTCATCAGTGACTATCACGCTGCCTGGCGCAATCCACTTTCTTATGACAGCCCTTAGGGACGGCCAGCTTCTATCATTTACTTGCTCGAATAGGGCTTTCTTTTTGGCCGAATCATACATGCCTAAAATGATGTGACAGTACACTGTTCAATTACCCATAATCCAATTCTGCTTCTTCAGTCGCCCCACATTGTATTTGCGTCGCGAAATCATCGTTTCGTCGACTTGGACTTCGATGTCGGGCCCACCGAGTTGACCTTCTTCTTGTAGGAGGGCCTTTGTGCATACGTCTCGCCATATACCGTACCAGTCAACTGCGGTCTTCTTAGTTATTCCTACTATGGCTGCACATCTAGTCACCCCAGTGCCTTCAATGAAAGAAAGGCACGTTTTCATCGCTTTAGGCAGTGTCAGGTGCCTCCCGTCAAACACTGAGCCCACTCTCATGTCTCTCTTATCTCCACATCGGGCGCATCTACGGTCTGTATACCACAGTAAACAGACCTTACCTAAAGGCATAACCATCCGTGTGTTGTCGCAATACTTGTAACGGCATGGCCTGCCGGCACCTACATAAGACCCTACGGGTCAGGAGTCCTTTCCGTTGCAGATATTGCACTAGGTAGGGTGACTGAATTATTTCAAGAATCCGTGCATAATCCGTCGGCATATTCACCTGTGGTCGTGTTTTTCGTCGCCTTCTACCAGACTGGGCTCTGCAAGACAGACCAAAGCGGAATTTTTTTTTACAAAAAGTGCTATTTCCTGTTTACATTTAATTCCATACGGTTCACGTAAAGCCCACAACTACTGCCACAGTTTTATTCCCCATACGTTACCACAGTGGAACTAAACTATTACTGTCAACGTTGCTCATCCAACCAAAGATATTTTTTCACATTAAATATTCACTCCACTTGCGTTGTTCCGTCGTGTGGGTCGCAAATTGACACATGTGCTCCTGTGTCCATTTCGATGGTTATCGTAATATCGCACATTCGCGGAATGGCCTGAGTACATACTTCCTTCTTCCTATTGGTTGGTAACTTTCCCTTGGCATTCTTTCCTATCCGGGGCAAGGTTGCATTTATTCCGCATACCGTTTTATTTATCCGTGCCCATTTACAAACCTTCCCTGCATATTTCATCTTATTTGAATCAGGCTTCCACTACCCTTGAGGTTTCATTTTTAGATGTGTACTGCTTGCCCCATTTTTGCCTCCACTCACAGGCCCCACCCGTATAGCCCCTATTACCACCGGTCCCGTAAGACAGGCAGCTGGCAGTTTACCGTACTGCGAGGGCTACCTTGTATCCTCTTACCCTTTTTTCAATTCCTAAATAGTTTTGATCGCTGGCCTGCCTTTACACTTGTATTCAGGGCTTCCAAACTATAATCCGTATATTTTCCGCGCATGGAAAACCATATGTTTCTCTACTGTATTAGGAGAACACCACATGGGATTCGCACAATTAAGCAGTATATATTTCCAACTCTACAAACCACGTTGGTAAATATTGAGATTTGGCGTTTCATTAACGGCCATTTCACTGTATTAAAAGTCTCACAGTTTGAATCTTTTTAAAACTGATTTATGCTCTTCCTTCGAGTATGGAATTGGGAGAAGACGTAATTCTCTAGAGAATGAGGAAGGAAATGAATATCATGATAAATGGTTTTGCATGAAATATAGTTACATTTTGAAGGGCGTCGAAAAGCACTGAGAAAAATACATGTCATATTTTGCGGAGTATAGTTTTTGCATGCAGCCGGAAAAAAGTTCGTTCAAATCCAGCATCCTGCGGTTACTATATTATGCTGCATAATGACTAGTTTTGCAACCCTATTTACAGTAAATGGGCCAACTCAGGAAATCTCAACAAAAATTCCGAAATGCGTTCCTGTTTCGAAAAGATTAATTAAGTGGGGTTGTAGAACCAACCAACGCGCAGCATAATTCTATAATAATTCTGTTACCTCAGGACGCCGGCTTTTCAACAAACTTGTTTATCTGCATTCAAAAACCATACTCCTTAAAAAAGCCTACTTATGCAGCATGAATTTTTTCATAGATTTTCGATGCAAAACATATTCATTCGTTTGCTCATTTAGTAGAAAAGTACGCCTATTTTCAATTTTACACCAAAAAGAAGGGTTTAATTTGGCTTTATAGAACATTTTCAATTACCGAATAAGTTTGAACCCGACCTGCCTTTACACTTGCATCTAGGGTTTTCGAACTACAAGCCGTATACCTTCCGCGTACGGAAGACCATACATTTGTCTACGGTTATAAAGGGGGACTATATAATGTTCATAAAATTGACAGGTGGATTTGAGACACATTATTTACTTTAAAAGCCACAGTGGAAAATGCAGAGCCATGACGATTTATGAACAGCCGTTTCATGGCATTTAAAAGTCCCACATTTCGAAACTTCTTAAAACCGAATTATATTCTTCGTTCGAGTTTAAAATTGAAAGAAAAAGTAATTATCTATTGAATGAGCAAAATAACGAATATTTGTAGGCATGTTTTTCATGAAATATAATTGAGTGTTTAAGGGCCTCGAAAATCGATTTAAAAAATACATTCTACATAAGTAGTCATTTTTTACGTTGCTTGGTTTTTAGATGCAGCCAAAAAAAGTTTGTTCTAGAGCCGGCGTTTTGGAGTAGCTGAATTATTAAAGAATTATGCTGCACGATGATTGGCTTTACAACACTACTTAATTAATCATTTCAAAACGAAAATGCATTTCGAAATTTCGGTCAACATTTCATGAGTTAGCCCATCTACTTTAAGGTTACCAGCCTTCGGGTTCACTTTCGTTAACTTTTAGACTTCCAGGACTACCTGCAGCCGGCTTATCGAGAGCGTGCGATCAAGCACATGTTATTATTTGTTCATTGAATGGTGTACGTTGTGCGCCGGCTGTCGCGGATGGGTGGCATAAATGCTTGCCCGAGGATTGCCTGATCGTTCCAGATATGCTTGCAGTAAGTGGCTTATTCATTTTACCATGAGTAAGAAACGATCTGCCGAATGTCTATGACTTCCCACCTACCCGTAGGGGAGCCTCTTCATGGAAACAAACACATAACTGCTGGTTTTACTCAAATGTAGGATTAAAATCGGACTGTTGGAATTGTTATAAATATCAAGTTGGCGTGTGACCCCCATTAGTTGGGGTCGGAATACTGCACGATCCAATTCTGTGTCCACGCCAGCATGACTACTTCCGATGACGAACGTTAAGCGCCCCTCTACCATTATTGGATACAAGCCTGCAGGACAACGAGCCCGTGGCTTAGTGGTTTGGACGGTGGGCTTTTAACCGACAGGTCGCGAGTTCAAACCTCGGGGTTGCACACCTCGGAGTTGAGTTCGACTAACTGACGATAGTTAAAAAGTCTGAAATGATAATTCCAGTCCCCCTTTCTCTTTTTCGTTAAATTATTTCGCCAGGGTGATTTCTCACTTGCATGCGTTATTATGTCTTTAGATTCGATCAGTAAAAGAATGCGAAAACAATAATTTGATTATGCTAGGTTTTCGTGATTTTGGGTTTTCTTAAATACTAATAATTAACCCAAAGATTTTGGACAAAACCTGACTTTGGTGGATACATTCGTCTATAGCCTCAACATGACATAACAAACAGATGCCACCTTTGTCAGATCCTATTTCGTTGCCGTACCTCCAGTAGACAAGCCCGAGCCTAACGCCTAAGCCCGACCGCTTACCCCTAACTGGTAGGATCTTATTTCGCAGTCGCACTTGTTAAAGGTTAGGGGTTAGTGTTAGGGATAAGCGTTGGGGGTTAGAGACATTTAAGAATGGAATTACCACGCAAAGATGCTCAGTGTTTGCCAAGAAATATTATGCGAAATCAGTGGGTGATACAAGCAAAAGATTCCAAATATGCCAACCATATTGACTCACGATAAAATATTTTCAGGTATGATTAAATTACCGATGCAAAATCCGGCGCTAGGTTTAATTTATCAAAGCCAGAATCTTCACAGAGTGCCGCCGTCTGTTGCAAGTTCTTGACGCATTCAAGCAGTTTTTTTGCTGACCGTTCCACTTCCTTCAAGGCAGTGATGTTCTGAAAATGGAGAAGCGGTCTCTAGAGTAGGTCTCTGCAATACAATCATAAGGCAATACAGGGTGTTTGGCTAGAATCCAAGGTTGTTATGTGCATGAAACGGCAGTAGAAACTTAGGCAGACCATCGCACCCACACTAAACACCAATCACACTGAATGAGCTTTGATGGTACGTTTATGACTGACGGTGCATAAGCCTCAAACATAACAGTCTAATTGAAGCGCGAGTCATGGCGTTCCCTGCCTCTCCTATGTCGGCCTGATAAAACAAATATCGTAGAACTCAGGTTTAAAGACTCTTCGGAAGTTACCATTTCCACAATGTTTGCCGTCTGAAGCAAGTCAGCCCGTCTCCGATTCAACTTCGCCAAGTTCCTTCGAAGTTTCTTAAACCTGCTGAGCTCCTCAGCATGGGTTGCCGCGACGGTCAGTTTGGTTCTTTCGAGAGAATAGTAGGCCGCATAGTACAGTTCCTGATCAGCAGAAGCGATCTCAGTGAGGAGGTTCTCCTTGCATGTAGCGGAGTCGTCCCTCATATTGCCGAGAGTGGTCTTCAGGGACTCAAGAGAAGCCCTTTGCGACGGTAGTTCAGCCAACTTTCTTATCGTAGTTTCGAGTGCCTGGGTGGTAAGCTGGAAGAAGGGAAACGTTTTTGCAACAGCATAAATCATTGGTACCGAACGATTTGGCGAATGCTGGATACATAGGTCCATACTTTTGCCGCGAAAACGTGCCTACTTATTTAATTTAGGTAGGCATTCCATGTTAGGATTGAGGCTGCGTTTGGACCTAAGGTTTGGGGAAAGCTAAGGATTAGGATTAAGGGCAGGGTTAACTTAGCCTGCCGCATACTGTCTTACCAAATTCCGCCACCGTTAACAAGTAACCCCGGATTACCCGTTTGCTGCCCGTTTACGGGCTCTTAATTCGCCCCCTTTCAAATTGCGCGGTCTGTTTCCACCCCTTGCTGAAGTAATTGACCGCACATATTGCAAAAATGAGATTTTTGTTATTACTGACAAAGAGAATGGAGACTGGAATGGTCATTTCTGGCTTATAGGCCGTCGCCAGCTAGTCATAACCAAACCCTGAATTGTGGAACACCTAGGGCTCGATCCCGCAACCTGTAAGTTAGAAGTCCAACGCCTCTAACTGCTGGACCACGGGCCCGTTGTCCCGTCGGTTGCGATCGGGAATATACAATGGTAGAGGACAACGGTCCGTGGAACAGTGATTAGAGGCGTTGGACTTCTAACTAACAGGTCTCGAGTTCTAGCCCCAGGTGTTACACACTTCAGAGATGGGTTTGACTGGCTGACGACGGCTAATAAGCCAGAAATGGCCATTCCAGTCTCTCTTGTCTTTGTCGGTAATACCATTCTGCCTATATCATTCGTCGCTGTGCGGCTGCTGGTTGGGCTCGAGAGAGAGCCCGTAAAGCACAACGGAACGAGCGATTTCCTAAGAACAATCGCTAGCGTCCCTCTACCAACGTGATATTTCTGAATGCCTTCTGCAAATTCCGTCGAATGTCGCGTCAAATTGTCGTCTACTGACGTCATTACCATATAACGGGAATTCCTGTGCTTTGTTTTTGCTGTGGGCACACATATCTGGTCCTTGCCAACGAGGAAGACAAAAGCGATGGTTGAAGATCTAGATACCCATGTCTAACTGACCCTTCCCAAATGTGTTCTTCCATGTTAAGGGGCACAAAAGTACTATCATTCTGAAAAATGATAAGTTGGCCAGTTGAACGTTTCAAAATCGGACCCGAAACAAAGACATGCCTTTCAGAAGACGACACTGGCCTTTTTATCTGATTTTTCTGAATCGTTCGAGTCATTCTCCAGAAGGTTCTCTGGGAGGTCATACAGTCTGAAGCCATTCAAACGAAGTTGCCAAACTGGATCAAGGCATATTAACGTATCGCGAGCACAATAGCTTGGGTTTAGGACGGGTAGAATGAGTTTCCTCATAGATGACCAGAAGTTATAGTCACGCAACTGTTTTTAATGTTTATCTGTGCTACAAATTGCGGCTTCAAGTGAATTATACGACCGTTCACAACGTGCTCACGGTGCATTCCGTCGGTTCCGCAAGCATTTGTTGTAATTATCTCAATAGGTTTTTAACGTTGCTTTGATTCAAAGCATAATTCTGGCACCTGGTGGGCTAATCTGTTAAAAAAATAAGTACGCCTTCTCTAACCATTAATTTCGACTGCCTGAAATGAGTCTTGTGGTGCGAAGTAAATTCCACTTTGGTTTTGAAGATTGCATTTTGAGAGCAGTATTCCTAACCCCAAGCAATCACAAAGTGAATTAAAAAGAACTTTTTGGTATATCACACTGACCTCTGACACTTGAACGTTGTTATTCATTGGACAAATTGTTTTCGAAAGTTGATTTTGTGCTTGACATGACTTTTTAGGCTTCGGGCAGGACGAAGGCCGTTTTGGGGTAGACGACATCGTAGACGTTGATTGCTCTGTGTCAATGACACGAGTCTCAGCACCGTCGAATGGGCGCTAACCAGATTTCTGGTTCGAATTTGCCGGCTCGAGACAGGATGCGGAAATGTACGTCACGGTGTGTGGGGGGTAGTATGCCTAAAAAGATAAAAACAGAGGCAACATCCATGCATCGTTCAGGTTTTGGGTAAAATGAGAGGATTCTGCGTTTAAATGATGAGGTATAACAGGTTAATTCAGCCTTAGTGAGAACCATTGCGCAGCATGATACTCGTATTTAAAAGTGGCCTTTTCCACATGCCTGACTGCGCGATTACCCCAAAAGTTTGTAGTGGTGCCATCAGTCAGTTTGATTTGAGTGTGCTGCGTAATGCGAAGTTTCATGCCCCCTTAGAGCCTCAGGTTAGCACCGATACAGTGTGATGTCACATAAATGACCACCACCTAATGGTCATTTCCAGCTTTGAACATATGAAACACTATTTGTTGCGTAGTTTAGTTTCTTTGCATGCCTTAGTCAGAAATAAAACGAGCAAAATATTAAAAGTTTCAGCAAAATATCAGTATTTATGTGGGCGCTCTGCCGTGCATTCATAAACGAAGAACCGAGTCTAAATGCGAACAAAACAGTGAAAATGGCATCAAAGTTTAGAATAAAGCATGTTCTTTCGTTTACGATAGAAAAATATTAGTATATTAGGAACGTGAGCGAAACGGCCAAAAGTGTCAAATATTTACTTGACCTCACCGTGCAAAAATACAAAGTACACAGAGATCTGTAAACGCAGTGCAGTCATAAAGCACTTGTTAAAGAGGTAACTTATAAAGGAAAATTTTCTTATTGATCGAAGGCATATTCGTTGTTGACTTTCGTTGTGGACAGCTACTTTTCTCGAAAATGAAGTTTGATGTTTGAATGAGTCTTCACATGTGACCCAAACGACCATCTTCGTGAAAAGCAACACCCGAACACTCACTAATTCGGTAAATGCCTTCAGGAATAATCTTATTTTAAAGTTCTTAACAGACAGGTAATTCAAAATCTGTCTTTATGTAAGATTGGGTGAAAGCACTGAAAATCATGAAGTGGTCTACAATATTTCGAGGCCGATCTGAAATTCAAAGTAATCCAAAACGAGCGAAAAGTGTAAAATAATTTAACGGAGGAAATGTTCTCTTTATAAACACAAAATGGTATTTTTGCGATCACGTCTGTCAGTTCTATTTATATTTATTAGGCACCGACTGGCCTCAAAGCATGTCATCTTTTAAAAACTTTTGTTCCTACGATCTCCGCATCGGTGAACTCGGAAAAAAATCCAGGTTTTCTTGTTTAGTTCCATCTTCTTTAATTCAAAAGAGTCAAGGATAACACGAAACTCTAAAAAACTGTTTTAGAATCTACATTCATAACGTGGGCAGTTATCAAACCGTCATCTATGAAATCACACTAATTATTAAACGATATTTAGATATTAACTGCACTGAAACATTACTACTAGACGTTATTTTATTTCTACTTCCATATTTATTAGGTTTTTGGTGTGAAAATACATTCTATACATTTAAAAAATGAATTTTACTAAATTAGAGCCATTTCTGACGTTCTCGAGATATTGCGTTTTTCAAAAAATATCGGCATCTCTAAACAACGCAACACTGCCTTTAATATTTCTTATGTGTTTTTTATTCTTTTAAACTTGTAATTAATTGCCATAGACATTGGACTCATTAAATGGTGCCGTTTTACGAGTGATTGACAATCATTCGTAAATTTCGACACATTTCATGAGTTAGGTCACTAACTGTACTTCCAACAAAACAGGCAATGATATGGAGCTCTCAGGTGATTTGCCACCGCCAGTGACATAGTACAGTTCATGATCAGCGGAAAAGATCTCAGTGAGGACGTTCTCCGTGCAGGTAGCGGAGTCATCCCTCATATTGCAAACAGTGGTCTTCAGGGACTCAAGAGAAGCCCTTTGCGGTGGTAGTTTATCCAATTTTTTTGTCCTTATATCAAGTGTCTGGGCGGTCAAGTGAAAGAAGAAAAACGTTTTTACAACAGCATAAGTGTTTGATAGCGAACGATTGGTTGACTGCTGAATGCATAAGCTTACAGTGGTGCCATATCTAAGGGCTGAGTACTTGCCATCTACCTGAAACATGGTGCTAAACACATATTGTATAGAGCGGCCGGGAAGTCGACGGAACATTGTTCAGTATTCGACCCAGGACAAGCGTCCGCAACTTGGTGTTTGTGAATGACTGAGCGCAAAATATCACAACAAGGAGGAGATAATGCGCATTGTTGGTCTAACTGACCATTAACAAGGAGTAGACTGTAGCCAAGCACCAAGCCGTACCCAATGTGGGTTACAATAAACTAACTGTTGATTTCATTTGAAGCCAACTCGTATCAGTGGACAAATTCGCATACCTAGAAAGTATAATTTGAAGGAGTGTGACAGCCGAAGACGGAATGGGCCACCGAATCTCCAAAACCGGTCAGATTGTCAATTAGGTGTAGCCACTAATCCTTAATCACCACGGACTTCAATTCAACATGAAACACAAGATATACTGGGTGGTAGTTCAATCGGCCTTGTTCTACGAGAGAAGGACATGGACGGTCTTCGTCAAAGGAGAAAGAAAAATCAGTCAATTCCACCTCAGCCTTCTGAGCTGGCAAGATAAAGTCCTCGACACAAAATTCTTAAAATAAACCACAAAACTTTAACATGTTCACTGTGTCGTTGTAGATCCAATAACGATGGCGAAACCACGTCGCGAATATGGATGATGAACGTCTACGCAAGTGGCTACTCTATGGTGACTTCGCTAAGTGCGCTCATCATCACGGAGGACAATAATAGCAACAGGAAAAACCCTGAAAATTTCTCCCGGGACCCAGAAGGACTTTTCGCAATATCATCCGGTCAGGAGAAGAGAAGTAAAGACTGGGTCAGCAATCTACGAAGTTAACGGGATCGCCGCTGTCAATGCCAAAAGAGCGGTTCGAAGACCTCAAACGCCTCCGACCCACAGCGATAACTTCCATTTCCTCGAAGATACCCTAACTGTCAACGGACATTCCGAACATGGATTGACTTCGCAGGCATCTCCGGACCTGATGTAACATCATTCCATAAACCCCACATGCTGCCTTCGTCATCTTTGCACCAACGCCCACGCCGTGCATGACGACGACCACCTCCACCACCGTGTGCTCCATAGCATGGTGAAGAAAGGATGGTAATTTGTGCGAGAGTTATTTTATATTGATAGTACACTTGCACAGAATCCACCGCACTCTCTCCTCCCCCCCCCCCCTCCATCTTGACCCGGTGTCAAGAAAGAGTCAAAAAGACCGAAAACGGAGGGGGCGCAGATGGATGACACGGTCGAGCCCGCGTCTTGGCGCTCCACCCCACAACCCCTGATCGACACAGCAAATGACCAGATTTTTGACCAACAACAACAATCGGGGGCGGCAGGGCTCCCAGTGTGCGCGACGTCTGCCGGCAATCGGGTCTGCCACCGCACTCCGAAATGTTGGCATTTGTTACGGTGCGCAAATCCGACAATGCATGCCAGAATCCGACGTGGCTTCCGTGTTGGTCCAGCGCATCTACCACGTGGTCCGTTTGCGGAGCCTACCTTCCCTATCATCCCTGTCATAACCTCTGAGACGACGACGACGAAGACGACGATGATGACTACCACATCTCTTACTTCCACCACCCCTGAAAACACTCGCCAAACTTTACCGCCATCATCACCGCCCTCACCACAAGCACCTTAGACTCGATCCTAGTCTACTCTACTGCGATCGACCCTTCACATCACGCATCGGCCTGGTCGGTCACTTGTAAATGTGTCACCCAGACTGGCGAAACAGTGCCAGAATCATCTGTCGCCATCGTCTCTCCTACCTGCCCTATCGACACATATTCAGTCATGCCCATCCTTAAAACCTCATGATAAACCATCGCTGGCCAAAGCCCATCACATCTCTTCTCACCAGCTCACGCACAACACACGAGCCCGTCCCACTTCACTCACCTCAAGAAGACAAGCGGCACTTCTCAAGTAGTTGGTAAGCCTGCAGCTTGACTTCTTTCGCATTTGGCCTCTGTAGCAGTGTGACACACGCGATGTCCGAGCAGCCCACCCGCTGTGTTTGAAAACCTCGTGTGTTGTGCTGAAGAGCCGGGGTTGCGTGGAGCACGCGTAAACGGGCTGCTTACTTCTGTCAACTCCTTCACCCGATCCCAACATCGACCGAGGCAGGGGAGACTGAGCTCGACTATCAGCATGTATTCCTCACTTTAAACCGTGTGATGCGTCTAAAAACATCGACACGCTCTAAAATCGGTAGCTTTTAAGGCCGAAAACTGGCCGAATAACCTGATCTTCCTCTCAGAATCCAGACTCAACAACATCTCCTCAGTTCTGCCTCCATGTCCTCAGCCGCCATTACTGTCGTTTCTGTGAGCGTGACGTGTGGAGCACACGCGGACGGACTTTGTGTCTTTTTCAACCGCCTCCTGCCTTTTTGCCTCTGTCTTGCCACCAGGTTAAACTGGGTGAGGAAGGAGAGAATGCAGTATACGCAACTGCAAACTAGTTCGCGCGCAAGTCATCTGTTATAGGACACGAAGGTGGGCATCGTCAAAAGCGGTAGTCGAACTGCACCCAAACGCAGTCAGTCCGAAAACATCCAGAGTTTGACGCAATGAAGTAATACGGCTATGAATGGACAAAGCGAATGCCCTCAGGCAAACCTAGGAGACTAAATTAACGACAGCAGTGATGCCCGGCCTTTACGAAAGAGTTCGGGGGCCCTTCGTCAACATCACATTAGATAGGCATAAATTAGTTGCATGGCCCTTTAGGTCGCATTGCTGCTGCTGCTGCTGCTACTGCTGCGAGACATACGGGCGCCACAACTGCCCTTAACCCACAGTGGCAACTTGAACCTGAATTACATTAATTGGGAGGATACTTTCGTAACATTCGCACGGTAACTTATGCTCGTGCATGCGCGTTTGCAGCCGTCGGCCGGTTTTCCCAACGTAGTTACAGACTCCGCAGCTGCACTGAAGTCGGTAGACAACAGCCGGCATCTCCTGTTTAGGGATCGGGTCTTTTGGCCGCCTCACTTGCCGGCGGATTGTTGAGTCGGGCCTGTGGGCAACGCCTATTCCGAGCGGCGCGAGGGATCTGGCTACGGCTTCAGAGCCCCTTTCATGTATGGAATGCTCCGCCACGATTTTGGCTGAATAGGTTCTTCATTCCGCTTCCTTGGTTGCTTTCGGCTCCGTTCAACGAATGTTCGCGGATAGCCGTTGACTCTGAAGAGTTCGTGGAGGAACTTCATCTCGTCCAGTTTGGCGACTGGAGTGCTGCAGTGAGTTTCCACCCGTCGGTATAGCGTGCGTACACGGATTCGTTTGTGTTGCAATGGGTTGTTGCTGCTGTAACTGAGCATTTGCAGCGTGTTCGTCGGTTTTCTGTAGACTGACGTCGCCGGTTTACCGTCTGGTTGGCGGCAGATGAGAACATCCAAAAATGAAAGTTTGCTCTCCACTTCGTCTTCCATCGTGAACTGTAGGTCGTGGATGATTGAGTTTAATAGTACTTCATGGAAGCTAATTTTATCGAGATCGATGATTACGAAGGTAACATCAACGTAGCGCGCCCAAAACTTGGGTTTGTATTCCCCGAACAGTCTTTTCTCGAGTTTTTGCAGAACGGCCTCGGCAATGAGTCCGGAGATTGGTGAACCCATCGGAGTGCCCTTAATTTGCTCATAGGTGATCCCCTCGAAGGTAAAAAATGTCTTGAGGCAGTGCCCCATGAGTTCTATGAGATCCTGAGCTGCGGGTATGTGTCTTGAAGATTGCATTATGAACGACCCTAGCTTGACACTCAGCTTTCCTGCCCCATTGCGGCTTAAGTGTCAAATAGGTATGTAAAAGTAACCGCGTTTTCTATTAATGCTGGAGCGGTCACATTTTCTGTCCTGCCGTTTATCTTGTAGCATGGAAATGTTCGGATCGAGCAGACTATAAATGGGTATGTAGGATACATTGATCAAACTAGGACAATAATTTTAATCAGGATAACGCCAATATTCCGTTAATTTCACCCTAATGCATTATCTTTTGTTGACTAGTCGTTTTTTTATCCATGTAATCTCATCTTTTCAGAAAAGGGTTGTTTAAAAGTGCTTTTCACATCCAGTATCCAGCTATTATCTGATTCGGCTAAAAAGAATCCCTTTGCAGACGTTTATGAAACAATTACAACCCTTACAGAAGTGGGTAACGCAGGGGACAATCATGGTATGAAAACTCACGGTATATTACATATTCGACCCGGAAATCCATTTTCAGTCGTGACTGACTGTCTCAGCTTGCTTAGCAGTTCAAGGAAACTGACAGACAGGAAAAAGCGGTTATCCTGGATCCTCAGAGGGGGGGGGGTGATCGGATCAGATTTCACATGCGCTACAACGACTTTTACCTTCGCTGTTATTATATTTTTCTAAATACGATATATTACGCACCTACGCATGATACTGGCCACTCTCACGTAAACCACCGACAATGAAAGTCGGGTGAATGCAGCGTTTATTTACTTACTACGACTCGAAATTAAAGTTTGTGTTAGGTTAGCATGATAACATCAATGGAGAATAAACGACTTCGTCTTGTTGACCAGGAAAATCAGTGTCTCAAGCATCAACTTCATTCCAGTGCGTGAAATCAAATTTCGTCGTTTCAGAGAAAATAAATTGCAAGTTGGTTTCGTCCTGGCTGCGAATGCTCCCTTGCATAAATTGAGATTCTATACGCAGGATCACAGGATGTGGGGTACCAGAGTCGCATTGATTCTCACTTTCGTCCTGCGGCTGAAGATCAAGATGGGATGGGAATCAGTCGTAACATTTAGGATCTGGTCATAGTATGTGTTATGTTGTTCCCAAGGTACCGTAATGGTGAGATCTTTAGTCGTTTAATCGTCACAGGTAGATTAACACGTCCCGAAGTATGCGAAAGTTGCATAACATCTTGCGGTTCCATTGTTTGTCCGATACGGACAAAGGTGATTAAAAGTTAGGAGACTGTCAGGAATGGCGACCAGTCAATATAAGGTATGGTGCATATTATTTAAAAGCTTATGTGGTATCCCCACCGACCACCGTGGCACATGACATACGGATGTTCCAGTTTTGTGGATTGCTCTTTTCGACATAGTCCTCCAGGAGGTGGACAGTAGTACGGTTTCTACGCTGTACTTGGTCATTCCTTTTGGCGTGTAGAGTAGGGAAGATCCATTTGTCAATCAAGGCGACAGTGACCTAAGCGATGTCGCCACGGACTTCTTTATATATCGTAGTAGACCTACAGTGAGTGACCGTTCTCATGAAATGCTGGCTGAAATTCTGAAATGCGTTTTCCATTAGGAAGGATTACTTGGTCGCGGTTGTAATACTGATTAGACTGCGGCACAATCTTATGGCATTTCGGACTCGGCAGGATGTCGGCTTTTTAATACACTGCTATTCAATCTCCTGTAGAATCCTTACTCAGTAAAAAATGACTGCTTAATTGGAATGCTTTTTTCTCATTGATTTTCAATGGTCTCGCAAATTCAAATATATCTTATAGAAACCATAAACAAAAATATGCTTTCTTCATCGTCCGATAGAGAATTACGTCTTTTTTATATTTTTTACTGGAAGAAAGATTTTAATTAAGTTTTAAAAATTTCCTACCTATGAGATTTTTTAAGATCTCACAATGTCCATTCACATAGCATCGTACCTCGCCGTTTACCACAGCTCCTCATTAAATCTACAACATGGTCCGCATCCGTTGCAAAATTGTCTGGACACTGCATGACATCTTTTTAATGGCATAGAAAAATATGTAATTTTACAACGCGGAACGCATGCACCTTGTAGACTGAAACCACTAAGCGCTAAAGCAACGAATGATCAGGCTCCGCACTAATCGCAATTAGAAAACATTTTAAAACCTTATTATACTCCTCCCTTGAGTCTAAAATATAAAGGAGACGTGATTTTCTATTAAGTGATTGAAAAAAGCATATTTTGTTTATGGTTTCTGTAGGATATATTTGAATTTGTAAGACTATCGAAAATCAATGAGAAAAATGCATTCTAATTAAGTAGTCATTTTGCACCCAGTACGCTTTCTACAGGGGATTGAAAGGCAGTGTGTTCAAAAGCCGACATCCTGCCGGGTCCGAAATGTTGTGAGATTAAGCCGCAAGATAATCAGTATTTCAACCGCGACCAAGTAATCCTTCCTAATCGAAAACGAATTTCAGAATTTCAGCCAGCATTTCGTGAGATCGTTCACTTACAGTACTTCGGGCGTCTGTTGCAACGCTGCACCTCCGGCATGCGTAACTGCACGCGCCTAGTGACAGTCTGGTTGCCGGTCCATCACAGCTATCCAAAGTTACCAAGCAATTTGAAGGCTGAATCAGACGTGCCCTCGCTCAAAGCGCTATGAGGACAGCTCCCCTCCCACTCGGGATGCCTGCTATCAGGCGTGTGCACCAGTCCGGCTACCAATCTCCTCTAGCTCATTATCCAATCATTCTTTACAGAATATAATCTTCTCTCTACTGGCGTCCAACTCCCCTTTTTTATTCAGGATAGAGTCTAAGGGTTATGGCAGCTAGGTTCTCCCTACGACTTCACCTGTCACGAGAATACACCCATCACACTCACCACCGCAACCAAACAGAATGTACCGATAGCCAGGTAAGTGCAATGCGTGACCGATTTCATGAAATGTCGGCTAAAATTCTGGAATGTTTTTCCGGTTAGGAAGGATTACTTAAGTGGGGTTGTTATACTGATTATCATGCAGCATAACCCTACAACATTTCCGACTCGCCAGAATTTTGGCCTTTCAATGCGCTTCTTTTTGACCTTCTGCAGAAACCACACATAAAAAATGAACAAAAATATTCCTTCTTTTGCTCATTTCGTAGGACATCACATGGTGTTCATATTTTATGCCCGAAGAAAATGGGTATTTTGGTCCTAAAAATGTTTCCTAATCCTCGAATAATTTTCAGCCTGATCTGCCATTGCATCAACGCTTAGCAGTTTCAGTCTAGAAGGTGCATGTTTTCCGAGTAAGGAAAATCATATATTCATCTATGCTTTTAAGAAGATGCAACATATAGTTCATTAAATTTCGCAATGGATCCGGATTGTGTTGTATATTTCATGAGGAGCATTAGTAAAAGGACATGTACGATCTTGCATGCATGGACATCGCACGGTCTTAAAAATCTCATAATTAGAATTTTCTTTAAAACCAAAATACATACTTTCTTCGGGCATAAAATATGAGGACCATGTGATGTACCAAATGAGCAAAATAACGCATATTTTGTGCATGTTTTCTGTAAAATATATCTGAATTTATAAGACCGTCGGAAATCAATGGGAAAAATGCATGCTACCTAAGTAATCGTTTCTACCGAGCGTGGTTTCTGCAGGAGGTCAAAAAGAAACGCATTCAAAAGCCTACATCCTGGCGAGTCCGAAATGTGATAGGCTTATGCAGCATGATGATCAGTATAACAACCCCACTTTAGTAATTCTTCCTAATCGGGAACGCATTCCAGAATTTTGGCCAACATTTCATGAGATTGGTCACGCACTAGGTAACAGCCAACGACGCCAATACGCGCATGTTCGGATGGCAGTCTTGAGGACGGCGATTGTACGGAGCGATATCGCTTGAGAAAAACGGCCTCGAAAGGAAGCGCATGTAGGACAATTTTTGTCGAAGGTAGCAACCTCGTCGCAAAGGTTGGGCTATCAGAAGCGTTGTCAGTACAAAGCATCCGTGTTTCGGCACGGTTTACACGAGTGACATTGGAAGGTAAGGTCAAATGCAAGCAATATTGCCTCCGTCATTAGAGCTGGCACTAACCTTCTTTTTTAGTCTGCAGTCACTGGAGAGCCTTAAGATCTGGGAAAATGACAAAACGTTTTTTAACGGGGCCTCCGCCGATGGCCTTGCGGAACTCGCTCGTCCTGTTGTGCCTTGGGGTTCTCTCTCGAGCCTCACCATCAGCCACCCAGCTGTGCGTAATGTAGGCAGAATAACATTACAGAAATAGAAGAGGAGGGTTGGGAGCGCCCTCATCAGCTATCAACACCCGAACTTGAGGTGCACAACTCCCGAGGCTCGAGCTCTCGACCTGTTGGTTATAAGTCCAACGGTCTAGCCACTGAGTCACGAGCTTGTTGTCCTGTCGGTTGCGATCGGATATATACAGTGGTAGGGGGGCACTTAAAGATCGCGCTACGGAAATCACAAATCCCGTTGTGCCTAGAGGCACAAAATAACGCGATCGGGGCCCACCCCTCCACCATTGCTCATTCACACGGTCGCAACCGACAGGCCAACGAGCCCCTGGCTCAGTGGTTAGAGGCGTTGGACGTCTAACTAGCAGGTCACGAGTTTGAGCCCTAGGTGCTTCACACTTCGGGATTGGGTATGACTGGCTGACGACGACTAATAGGTCAGAAATGGTCATTCCAGTCTCCCTTGTCTTTGTCGGTCATACCATTTTGCCTATACCATTCGCCGCTATGCGGCTGCTTTTTGGACTCGAGAAAGAGCCCTAAGGAACAACGGGACGACCGATCTCCGTAAAAACGATCGGTGAGCGCCGCTCTACTAATCTACATTCCCGATCGCAACCGACAGGGCGACGAACCCGTGGCCCACTGGTTAGAGCGATGGACTCCTTGTAGCGGGCAGCCATCATGACCGGTCTGGCGTCATTGTTCAAGACCTCGCTGCCTCAAGGTCATCCATCCTTTTGCAGTGAGCCGTTCCA